AGGCGACCATGGTGACGTTGGTGTTAAGAATGATGATGCTGCTGATGATGATGATGTTCAAGAAGATGATAAACTAAAATATATGAATAAGGATTATGCAAAGTATGGAGTGGTAATGATGAGGATGCTGTTGTTGGCGATGATGGCGAAGACTGTGATGGGTGTTGATGTTAGTGACTATGGTAATCGTGATAGAAATTATAGTAATCATATCAAAGTGAGGATGATGGTGGAGGTGATTTATGCTACAAAGGGTGTTGATAGTAACTATGGTCAAGGCAATTCAAATAAAAGACGCACATCTCGGGACATCAAGGCATAATTATAACTCTGGCATTGACATTCTATGCGCCGCACGACCTTTTACGCTGATCTTCGCAGAAACCATAGCAACTAAACCATAATTAACCATCAGCGTGTGACAAATTATCCACCCGTTACCAGTAACCATTATATCGCGCGTCGTGCGATGGTTACAAATGCCTAATTAGGCGTTGAATTAACATTAGACTGAAATTATATTCGTTATTGTAGCAATAATTTTACCGATGCGGTGGTGTCCGGTGGTTCATAAGACCCAATTCTTAAAAAAATAAATACATTTTCTTAATCTTTTTGTACACCTTAGTCCAACAATGTCAAAAACATTAAATTTTATAAAAAATCATAAGTTTTGAATTCCTAACTTTTCATTTTGTTGGTCAATTTTCACGAATTAAATTGCAGTTTATAGAAGCACTTGACAAGCTGGTGGTCAAAAGAAATCCGATGCAACACACATTGAGAAGTACCCAAAATTGATAAAAATAGTAACTAACATGAAACGTATGGCACGCATTGAATTATAATTAACTAATATCGGATTGTCTATGCCGTTATATCTATATGTTAATGCCACAGTAAAGATGAAAGGACTCTACGCATGTGCTATGTTTGCGAGCGGAGATGTGCGTCCTTTTGTTTAAGTGCCTTGTTATGATTATACATTATTGACATCCATGGCGATGGTGACGATGTTGTCGAAGGTGACGACAATGATGGTGACTATGATGAGTGCAAAAAGCGATTTACTGTACTGCAAACAATGATGAAATATATTCCTTATACCTAATATTACATTTTAAAATATATAGTATGGTCTATAATATCCTCGGATACAATCAAAACTGAAAGAATAAAACAAAAACAACATAATAATTAGAAAAAATAACTAAAAGTTAAAAAATAATTTGAAGAAACATACTTTTATTATTCAAAATGCTATCGGCATAAAAATTAATTTTCCCTATCTAATTAACTTATAAATAAGTACTTATAACATAAATAAAATTACGTACATTACTTCAATAGAAAATAGAAGGAACACAAGTAATGTGCTTTTATTAATGATAGCTATGTACAATTAAAATTCAATGAACAAAACCTAGTCAAATTTTAAAACATGTAAAACATGAATTCAAAATCACTCTAAGAATAAAAAAAATAACAATTATATTAAACAAGAATTTTTAAATTAGTTCACCTGTTAAAAATTCAGAGACGAAAAAAAAAATTATAAAGTCAGAAGTACTTAACACAGAAAATAGAAAAAGTACTGTAGGATAAAATAAAAGTATTTGAAGAAATTTATAATATACGAAACGTAAAAAGAACTACGAAACAGTTACAGTACTCCCAAAATACTTAAAACGCATTACGCATTGCGCATTACAGCATGTCATATTGTTACTTGTTTTTATTTAATCCATATTTATTGAGGATTATACGTTCAGCTCACAAAAAATGATAAACCAAAATAAACATAACAGGACGTCAAATGCACATAACAGCATGTCGAATGCACTTTACAGAACATCGGAACATTGGTGGCACTATAGATTCAAAATATCACCTTCCAGATTTGGCAATAAACTCATGAATATTTATTAGTAGTTTCTTATTCTCGACAGAGCTGTTTTGATAGGTCCGGTTCGATGTCGAATTATAAAAATTGTAAGCTGTGGTACCGAGACCTATGACGATTAGTGCCCAAAAATGTTTACAAAAACGTAATGCAATAATTGTATATTATAAAATATAAAATAATTGTAATTGCAGTATTAAAGACAGAATTGTAACAATTTTACAGATTATAAAAAAGAGACATTATAAAAGGCAAGAGAAAACTTTGAACAGACATTAAAACCATCAGGCATATTGACTACTATTGTATATTAAAGCCGCTCCAAATCTCTTTCCTATTCTTCCTTCTTCCTTTATTCTTTCACAATTTGCGTTCATTCATTCTTTTTATTCATATTTTTATACACTCACATAGTCACTAGTTTCTTACTATTGAAACTGCATTACGATTTTCGAAACTTTGTATACAACTTCACCATTATCCTAATTTCTAAGGCTATTGTATTTATCGCAGACAGCTTACTTATTCTCTAAATCTATCTTATAATAAGAGTCTTGTAAGTTGCTGAATTTTTAACACTGTTTAATATCACAACTGAATTTTGCGTGCTTATGCATCAGCAAATAAGTTAATAACATGATCAAAGTTAGCAATTTTGTCTGCTTCATCACGCTCAATACTAAGTAGTGCCAAAACAGATAGTCTCGCTTGTCCCATCGTGGCTCTGAGCTGGCAGGGTGAGCTTTAGTCATATAGTCATTAGAAAATCGGATAAAAAAAACAGGAAAAAAAACGGTCGAAATGGACTGAAAAGAAATCACAATCTATAAATTTGCCAATACAAACAACTACATTCAAATTTTTATATTAACTAGAAAATGTTCGTGCCTGACAACATACATCAATTTCGTTGATGCATAATTGCATAATTTATTGGCTGCTAACATTTAAGCGTTTTTGTAGAACCGTCTGTAACTCAGTGAGAGCTATATTTTATTTTCATCTGATTTTAATCGTTTTAAATATGAAGCTATTCAATATTTAATTGGGTAGACAGCCTAAACCTAAACAGTCCCATATTATGTGTATAGTATAATAAATCGTCGGATTTGGTAAAATGTTTATAATATTCTGCTTGCTATATAAATCTATGCCTATTCATATTGAATATGAACGACATGTTTGTGGGAAATAATACCGGTGTGTAAACGTTTATCGTTCAGAATCTGTAATACTATAGCAGTTAATATGTATGCTATACTATAAACTGTCATAAATAACCGACCATAACCGAGATTCAACGCTGCTTATTATACTTTTAAAGACCATGCTGTATGTAAACAGTGTCTAGGCATAGAGATATTATAATTACAGTGATAGTCCATTGTTTTCACTCTGGTTACACTGTCTCAACCGACTACCAAGAGATTTTGGCCTACTCTTACCGTAGTTTCTAAACTAACTGCTCCATGCCCTAACTATGCCATGCGGCTTTCATATTCCACAAGCAGCGATCACCCCTTTCGCAAGTGTCTCGAAAGCTTAGACCACAAAAGCTAAGACCTAAAACCACGAGATATCAGACCCACTCGAAATATCAGACCCCGCAAATTAAGACCCTCAACTAAGTTTTCGCTGGGCGGCATAATTATACATGACGTCACCATATACAAGCCACTCCCCTCGGCTGAACCCGTTGTATTTAGCAATTACCTACTGAAACGCAACCGTTTCTACACAAACCGTTGTTAGTGTACTGGCTACTCCACGGAACCGTACGGTTTCGATAGCGGTTTCTAATGCACATCGTGCGAATATCTGATATACTGTATTATGATTCTCGATCGTTTCTCGATAATAATAATAATAATAATGATGATGATGATGATGATGATGATGATGATGATGATGATGATGACGATGACGACGACGACGATGACGATGACGATGACGATGACGATAATGATGATGATGATGGGGACTGAATCTCGGTACCAGTCGGTACCAGTCGACACCTTTGATCACGAGCCGACTACCAATCAACGCTCATAATTAATCTTGCGAATATTTCCGAAAAAATGCGAAAGTTTACGAATGCAGGCGGTTACGAATGTTACGAAAATTGCGGGACACACAGCGGATCCTATGTCGGGGAACAATGAGGTTCTCGCCGCCACGCCGACTTTAGCCCCGCTATGGTTGGTATAAAGTGGAAAATAATCGAGCTATCCTTTCATTCCACTGCTGGATCGCCACTGAACTCATGGGTACAATTTTTCCTCTCTTTAACTCAAAATTTTCGGTTTGACAGAATTTGGGGAGGGGTGGGAACGGGCCCTCATTCCCCCACACCTTTCGCTGGATCCACCACTGGTCCTGGTTTCATGTTCTATGCTTTTAGTGATTTTATCTTTTTTATTATATACTATTTTGAAACCGAATTAAAAAAAAAAAAAAACAAAGGCAAGGTAAGGTGAATGTAAAAAGAACAAACTATCCTAAAAATATAAAGAATGAGAACGATCGAGAACCATAGTATCGGATACAGTATTCGCACGATAGATGTGCATTAGAAACCGCTATCGAAAACGTACCGAAACCGTAGCGTACGGTTCCGTGGAGTGCAAATAGCCGTTTTGTTTGTACTGTTTTTTCTCCAGTAAACGTCGCAAATAGGGGCCTTAGCTGGTCGATGATACTTAATGGTGTTTTTATTTTTATGATTAGTCAGTTCTTTATATTGACGTTAGCTTTCGAATAAAGGTATTGTCTAGAAAGGGTGTCCCGAAAGCTCAGACCACGAATGCTAAGACCTAAGACCACGAGATATCAGACCCACTCGAAATATCAGACCCCGCAAATTAAGACCCTCAACTAAGTTTGCCAGGATTTCCAGACAATAATACCTTTATTCGAATGCTAACATCAATATATAGAACTGACTAATCATGAAATAAACACCAGTTAGTATTATCGATACCAGCCATGGAGTTTTATTTATGTTGATAATAACAACACCATCCAGCTAGGGCCCTAATTGCGACGTTTACTGGAGAAAACAAATATAGTACAAACAAACCGTTGTTAGTGTACAGGCTGCGATTTTTTTTTCCGCACGAAATATTTACATGAAACTCCACTCGGGCCGTCTCGGCTGAATCGACCCGAAAATCTCATTGCAGAATTCAGGAGGTCAAAAGAAAAAGTGTCTGCTCTTGTCCTCGTATCGTACTCACTCGAGTCAAACCGAGATGGCCCGAGTGAAGTTTCATGCACATGTTTCGTACGGGAAAAAATCGCGTACAGGCTACTCTACGGAACCGTACGGTTTCGATATAGCGGTTTCTAATGCACATCGTGCGAATATCTGATATATAC